GTGGATTGACAGGAGTCTCTGAAGGACCAACAGGAGTCTCTGAAGGACCAACAGGAGTCTCTGAAGGACCAACAGGAGTCTCTGAAGGACCAACAGGAGTCTATGAAGGACTCTGTGGATTGACAGGAGTCTCTGAAGGACCAACAGGAGTCTCTGAAGGACCAACAGGAGTCTATGAAGGACTCTGTGGATTGACAGGAGTCTCTGAAGGACTCTGTGGTCCATGGGGGTTCTCCTTCGTGATTCTGGGTATCAGGCTAACAGGTCTAAGGTCAATGAGGACTGAAGCTTATGTCTCTTTGGTACCAGAACACAGTCCTCCAGAACTGGTGGAGAAATGTTCTCCTGAGGTTCTCTCTGCTCTGGTTTAGGTCAAGCCCTCCTCTGGTTCTGCTTGGTCTCTCTAGATATGCAACAACAACAACATCTACAACAAACATGGAGCTACCTGGGGTTTTGGTTCAGGCCCAGTAGGTGTCTCCTGGTGTCCATCAGACGCTCTGAGATGTTGGAGACCTGCTGGGTCCTCTGCACCAGCTCCCCCATCACCTGAGACACGTCACACAGAGAGACAGGACGTGAGCGGAACGCAAAGCAGCTCTGATTGTTCTGGGTGTAACGGCCCGCCTTACCCTGACCAGGACAGAGAACAGCGATTTGCTGCTTGGGGACAGGGGGACGTACGGGTCCAGCAGGTATTCGTCCAACAGAGGGTGGTCAAAGGAGGAGAGACGGGACAAGATGGCAGTCAGCTGGAGGTTCAACTCGTATGGCTGTGAACAAAAAGGACACCTCAGCAGGGTTTCTGGAATTCAGGGAATGCATTGGTACAAGATGCAGGCTGTTCTCCTGATGTCCCCCATCTGAAGGATGGGGACGGCCAACTGTTCCCATGATTCATTGCAGCTCATAGCTGATTGGTCGAGGAGGAGCAGTGATGAATTTAATCTGCTCTCTGTGACTCATCTGTCACCTTCCATGTTTAAATACCAAAGCTAGCGTACCTTAACTTCATGCTAATCAGACAACGACCTTCCTCAGTGGAGACGAACTGGGCGGGCCTCTTTTCTTTGGTCTTTCTTTATTGTTGGTCTCAACTTCAGCTGAAGGACAACCGTTGCCTAAAGCTGCCAGTTCCAGAAAGGCAGAAACAAACTGTTCCACACAGATACAGGGAGGTGGTTCTGGTTTTTATATAAATAACAATCCTGTTCTTATATTTTGGGGCCCATTGTAGTCATGGGCCCTTAGAGTGGTCCTTACATTTAAACCCTATATGGCCCCCTGATCTTTAGCACCTTTCCTCCACTTTTACATCTTTATATCTTTAGCATCAGCTTTAACAGTTGCTAGGCAGGTCAGGGCAGGGCAGCAGGCAACAGCTAGACTGTCCAAAGTCACAGGCTGTTCCACAAGACCCCATCTACATGGGACGGATGCTGGGAGAAGCGGGGCCCCTGAACCTAGATGTACCCTTAAAGACAAGGGAGTCAGGGACCGAAAACAGGTGAACACACAGAGTCAGGTGACGGGTGGATACAGGTGACTCAGGAAACAGGCGGACAGGTTGACACGCAAGTCAGGGAGCAGGTGGACACAGGCGAGTCAGGGAACAGGTGGACACAGGCGAGTCAGGGAACAGGTAAGCAGGTGGACTCAGATGAGTCAGGTGACAAGTGGAGACAGGCGGGTCAGGGAACAGGTGGACACAGGCGAGTCTGACTAGAAGTAGATGATCAGCTATAGGGACAGGTGTGACCTCAGCTCTTGCCTACCTGTTGTAAGATGCGTCCCAGACGTTCAAACAGAACCTTCAGCAGGTGACCTTCGAAGAAGTCCCCTTCTTTACCTGGAGAGCAGGTAGGAGGGGGTAGAGTTTTTGGCCAGTCCCAGGAGAGAGAGAGAGACCGGCACTGGGCCACCTGATGGGAAGAGAAGCTTTACTATTAAGGTTGATCCAATCAGAGATAGACCTAAAGGGGCGGAGCTTGGTCCACATCTACGCAGCTCTATATAAGTACAGGACATTTACCATGATGTTAACAGGGGGACGTTTCACAAAGCAGGTTTAACAAACTCAGATTCAACTCTGGAACTCTAAGTTCATCTAGCTATAACAAGTATGTGCATAAGAAGTATAAAAAGCCATTAACAGAGGAGCACCGATTTGACGAGTCACCATGACAACGGGCAACAAGAAGTGCCTATTTCAGCCCACTGGAACTAGAGATTTAATGAAGAAATAAAAAAGGAAAATGTGTTTAAAAGACAGAAACATGAAAAGGAGACGACGGAGAAGGAGAAGATTGTTGCTCAAGTTAATGTGTAAGTTCATATGAAGTGTCTATGGCAAGCCGTTTCTACATTTATTAAAGGCAAAAACAAAATTTTATTAGTAACAATTAAGTTTTATATATCTAATATTTACACATTTTAAGTGGCCTTTCTGACATTTATCAGCTGGACTGAAAATGTATTGATGAAATCTGAAATATATTTCTTCATATTCAAAATATACAAATGCTGACAAGTATATTAGGAATATGGAGATCTGAAATTAATTTCTAGACATCCAGAATGTGTATTCTAGAAGTAGAGAATGTCATTTTGTTTGAAATTGTCATTTAGATATCAGGAATACAGATTCAGTAAAACTAATACATATCAAAACGGCTTGCCATAGCCTGTTATGACCACAATAACATAACATGCTTTTCTTGAATGGTAGTAGATCAATTAATCTATTTAAGTGAAATCATTTGTCAGCGGGTGAAGATGAAGAATAAAAAGGTTGTTCTAATATATAGAACCTGTTCACCATCTCATGGGTTCCTCCTCAGTTTGATCCTTTCTCTTTAAACATTAAATACTAACTGGCTGTTTGCAGCTGTAATGGATGTTATCATCCCAATAAATGGTCGTTATTAGAGGTCATCAGTCGCATAGAATGGCTTCGCGACGGAATGGCATCCGGACGCCCGACACGACGGAATGGCATCCGGAC